ACAAATATAAATATAATGCAAAAATATGTAAGACTTTACGAAATAGCTCAGCCATTTATGATAGCATTTCCAAGTTCCTATATGGTTGAAGCCGGTTTCAGTCACGTAAATTCAATCTTAACTAAGAACAGAAATAAATTAAATGTGGAGTTTCGAGGGGATTTAAGATTAAAATTGACCAATTTTGAACCCAATATAACGAACCTTGCAAAAAAAAAAAAAAAAACACCAGGCATTGATTAAGAAGCAATAAATCCGTAGTTACTTTACTTATTATTTCTACTTACTTATAATTACTTATTATTTCATAAATATTAAGGTATTTATATTTCAACATTAATATATTTTTCATAAAACTATTGTTACACTATGCACTACTACTTTAATAAATGCTCAAAATCATAAACTGAATGTACAAACACAGTATCTAATAGAGTTTTATTTTAATTAACAGAAAATTACTTTTATGGGGGTCGATGGAGATTTCGAAAAATTATGTAGGGGTCGATGATCAAAAAAGTTTGGCAGCCCCTGCTCTAACCCATGATCCGTCTACCACTAAGGATATTTCACGTCAGCACTGTGATCGGTGCAAGCCGGATGAGGAAATCGTATCGACCAGCCGTCGCTGGACTTTCGACCCGGCTCACGTCATTGGAAGGTGAAAGCTCTATCCCCTGAGCCATCGCAGCTCAAGCATTCATTAGAATAAAACAAGATTTCAAGGCATCAAGATGAGCTGATGTGTCTGTGATGGAAATAATTTTGACATAGTCGAAATTAAATTTATACCCATATTTCAACAGTGTGCAGCAATTGTTAATTTTCTTGATAACGGACTATTAGTCTACTCCTTAAGTCTAAATTTTAAAGAGCATATAGTTTGTCCGATGTACCCAAGGTCACAGTGACAATGAATGTAGTAAATGTCGCAGTGATCATCAAAGCTAATAGGATCTTCAATTGACCTAAATTTGGCTTTTGTTAACAGGCCTAAAAATTGCTTTAAAACCAAAACAGGAAAGGATGTTAGCAATTTTATAACGAACGGGAAAAAACTGTTAAATTCTTAAGGAAGGATCTCTGTAAAGATTTGAAGAAGAGGAACGTTTAGATCTTGTGAGTTTAGCCAAGATGAATCCACTATAGAAGCGATTAAATCCACTGTTAACGTTATACGAGCGAAGGATGGTAAGTTCGAAGATTAAGTAAAGCTGGAAGGTTGTAAGTGTTAATTGCGTGCAAAACTGAAGTATGAAATGCAGAAATGTTCAGACAATTAGGGTGATTAAAATTAATATGAGGAGTCGAAATTGCGACTAAACGCTTGCGATAAACAAAGTTGGGAAATAAGAAGAGTATTTTTCTCTCTCTCTCTCTTTCGACTAGTGTGGTTTTTTTTCCTGTTTTGTATCTTCCCGTTATTTATTCCATTTTTCAATGGCAGCTCCTCGTTTTATATTTCAAATCACTTTTGCTTCTTCTGATCCACATCTGGCAAATCCTGAAAATAGGCACCTGTTTTTGGGCGTTTGAAACATGTATACTGTTACTTCTTTTTTGAATATTTTTTGAAGAGAACAAAGCTTTTAATCGGCTAATAGCTACCGCTTTAGTTTCGTGAGATTTTTTATTTTATGTAACAAAAAAAATTTTTAAATTTTCGATGAACAATGATAAAAATTTAAGTTTAGTACCGACATTCTATTTTAAAAATTAAAGTCTGGGACTAAAAGTAAAACCATGAATTCAACTCTAATTTATTAAATAAATCAATTTATAGCCCAACGCAAATATTGCATGCAAAGTATAAATACAAATATTGAATTAATAAAAATATTTGCTTACCTCCAAATGAATCAATTCATTTTAAATGTTTAGTATCTAATAAGATGTCACAATTTTTTTTTAAAAAATGATAAATTAATCAAAATATAAAATGTGAATAAAAACTATAGCAAGTAAATATTAAAACGGATGATAAAAAAATAGTAGTTTCAGTTAAAATATTTAATAATAAAATCAAATAAAAGAAACTCCTTTAAGAAACAGATTTCAGAGTAAAGATTTGAATTGGATATGTAAAATGTTACATTGAAAAGCTCAAGAAAAAGGAAATAGGTTAACTCTTTTCAATAACTGATTAAAAGACTGACTCTAGACTGAAGAAAATGCCCACAGAATATTTTTATGTTTCTAAAAAGTTGAAAATTCTAGATGATGAGGCAATATATTATTAGTGTAAATCAGAAGCAGAATTAATTTCTTATACATTTTGAAAGGTCATAGACGGAAACAAGTCCAAAGCAATATTGACAATGGCAGTGTCAATTAATCGAAGGCAACAAGATTATTCCAGTCAGTAATATGAGCCGGCTTCAGAATAAAAGGGTGCACAGTGGTCGGTAAAATTGCATTTGCTTTGTAATTAATTTCAACTACTTTATTACAATTGTAGTTAACTACGACTACTTTTCTTACCTTTTGAAATATGGTTACTATTTCACTACTTTCAGAAAACGTAAATACTTTACTGAAGAGCATAATTAGCACAAATGTTCAAAATGATTTTGAATAAAAAATTGGCTTTGTTAAGCATGAGAATATAAATGTTAATTCATCTTTATATGAGATAGTTATTTAATCTAAAACACTTTTTACGAATTTATTCTTTTGACCTTTAAATTCTATGCTCTTCTTGACAGTGAGTATTTAATCAAAGAAATGATCAGAAATTATCAAATATTTGAGATATAAGTGATTAAACCTTTTTTTATGTCCTCCAAAAAATAAAGTACAATGCGCAAAATAATTTTTAAAAAATGGAACACCCAAAATAACTTTATATCTAATAATCGGATCTTCACGTTATAGGCCTCAATCTTACTGGTTCGATTTCCAATGATTCATTTGTTTACAAGATTTCCAATGATAATGAAAAAAATAATTTAATAACATGAAGGAAGTAACTGCTGCCAGCGAAAATGAAAAAAAAACTTGCTCTAGAGCAGTAATTCTCAACCGTTTTTTTCGTCGCAGCACACTTTTAACGATTTTAAAATTTCGCGGCACACAAAGAAAAAGATAAGTTTAAAAGTTTTTTACTTACCTATAATACACTGTGTAAAATAGTTTATGTTAATAATTTGGAATATTAAATAAAATAATATAATATGTACTACAAAAACAACAGTCCGTTTATTAAGGGATTATGAATAATAAGAATACAATGAACAATAACAAATGAATAATAAGAATACTTTTTATGAGAAATTTGAGCTTGATGTTTTCTGATAATTTAATTTATATTTGGTCGTAAAAATGACAGTGCTACTCTCATATCGTCTTCTACATTTAACAGTCTCGATCTTTTTTTCGTTTTTATGTTGGTTAATACTGAAAATAAGAATTCGCACAAATAAGATGTAGAAAATTATAATAATATTTTTAAAGCTTTTTTGGCCATCTTGGGATGATCGCTATCATGTGGCTATCATGGGATAATGGGACAGAAAAATATGTAACGAAGCTGTGAAAGTGAAAAATTTCGTTACAATATTCATATACATATAAGTACTTTTCTTGAATTTAAACTCGTAATAAAAAAAGCATTATAATTTTGACTATACACATATTTCTAAAATTTGGCGGCACATAAAAGTGCCGCGGCACAGTGGTTGAGAATCACTGCTCTAGAGTATCTGACAAAAAAAAATTTCAGAGAATAGACCGTTCGCCTTCTAATAAGATGAACCGGGTTCGAATCCCAGCGATGGCTAGTCGATATGAATTCCGCATCTGGCTTGCACCGTTTAGAGTTCTGACGTAAAATATCCTGAATGGTAGACGAGCCATGGGTTAGAGTCCCCTTATCATTAGGCTAACCATGAGAGATTTTCTGGGTTTTCCTCTCCATGTAACGCAAATGTGAGTTAGTTCCACCAAAAGGACCTCCACGAAGGAAATTTCTACCAATACTTGATTCAGGAGTTCCCTTGCCTTTTGGATCGGGTTCAAAATTTCAAAGCTACGGCGTTGAACATTCGCAGTCGCAAACCCAAAAATTTGGATCGACTGTTCAATGACGGTTATAAAATAAAATAAACTTTAAAAGAAGTTGGTAGAAATCGCTACAAACTGGGGTTTTTTTTGTGTCGCACTATACGCTACACTCCTTCTGCTTTTAAGAAGTAGCGCACTACACTGCAAACTACGAAAAAAAGTAGTGACTGCAGTAGTTGCACTACTTGTAGCACGCTACTTCCGACCACCGAGGGTGCATTATTTTGATTCTCTTATCTTCATGATGAATTTTCAAAAGAAAAGGAAAACTGTTCTTTGTTGCAACGTTGGTCAGGGGGATAAATTCAGCTTCGCAATTTAGGTTGCTGTACAACTGTACATGCATAGTTGGGTACGTTGCTTATCTAAAACTGCTATTTTATTCTTTCTTTCTATGTTTAATTTCCATGTTAAAATGTATTAGCACATTTAATTAACATGGGTGATATAAATGTATTTTTGAAGAAAAATCTTAATAGTACGGTACTGTTTATCAATAGTGTAAAAATACAGAACAAACCAACGAAATAAAAGAAGAAAAACTTTTCTTTTTCACTACAATACTTTACCATTCCCAGTATTGGTTAGGAGGAGAGGAGGGTGCAAATCTACCGGGTCACAAAGTCCTACATGTTCAAATCAGTACCTCTGGGGGTACAGGATTGGAGATCGATCATTCTCTGATTCAGGTCAAAATTACGATCTGCGGATGAATGAATGGATGTATGAATGGGTCCGCCCTATATTTGGGTGCGACGTATGGTGTGGTAGAAGTCTAATTCTTGGCCATAGATGGCGCCACTAAAAAACAAGAAACGCACACTCTGCCTTAAATTTGCTCGGTTTCACCAAGCAGGCTTGCCCGTGTGGCAAGTGGCATTAGCAACAACAACAAGAACCTCTGTTACNTTGTTGGCCTATGCAATATTGCATGGTTGGAAATTTAGAAAGACTATATGAAGGGATGACTCCCCGTTCACACGTCTAGGATTGGAGTTCTTTTTAAATGAGCGGTAATTCCAATATTCTTGACTCCTTAAATATCTATTAGTTTATCATTTACCACGTGGTTGATCGTGTGACACTGTTGATGAAAAACTACGCGCTACTTTTTACCGACAAAATAGAGTTTTAATTCATCTTTAAAATTAAAGACATATATTTCTAAAATTATTATTGCGCTTTTGCTAAAGATAAAAGATTTTTCTTTAAAAAATAAGGACGTAATTTTTGCAGGCAATATACCGAAATTTTTAACTGTGTTATAGGGATAGTACAGGGAGTTACGTTTAATAGCCCTCCCCCTCGGTAGTGTTAACATATCTCGAAAATTTTGCTAGCAATTTTTAACATAAAAAAGTGTTTTCTTTCAAACATGTTTGTGTAAGGTCATAAGATATCAAACTTTTTTTTTAATTTCCTGCTAAACCAGTACTGAAATATCCACAAAAGTTTGAGTGCTAAAAATGAGAGGAAAATTCGCAAGTATTCGGACAAGAATTTGCATATTAGAAAATATCGGCATCTAAGGCGACAAAGGACTTTCAAAAAAGTTTTTAGAAATTATCAAGGGATTTGTTTGCAATTCTCAGTATATATCTATATTGTTAAAGCCAACTTACATATAAAATTTCAAAAGAATATTTTAAAATTTCAGAAATTAAAGAAGTTAAAATTTTGAATTTTTAATGTTTTTTTATATTATTCTTCACGTCTGAAATTTTGTTAAAATGACAAAATTCTTTTAAAATATTACATGTTAGGTAATATAAAAAATTAGTTGGGAGTACTTTTTTAAATTTTATTATTGAAACAAATAACAGTAAAAAAGCAATAAAAAGCCAGCATTTTTGAAAAAAAATCATCTTACCTCTATAAAATATCATGTATAAAAATAATACTATTAACGTAATTCAAAAAACTTTTCCAACGAAATGTTAATAATATTCATAAATATATAGCATCAAATTCTCAGGTTAATAGAATAAAAAATAATTTCGCTGGACGAGTTTGAAATTTGTAAATTTGTCAAAAAAGACATTTTGAGGAAAATGACTTCTACTTTTTCATTGCAAGGCGCCAAAGGGGCGTGGTCAAAACAGAAATGGCCATAACTTCGTCAATTTAGCTCAAATTTAAGAATTTTTTTTTAAATGTTCAGTTAAATGCCTAGGTTTTGAAACTATAAAAAGTGAAAAATAAATTTTTTGGCAAATTTTTACTTATTTGAAAGTTCCTTGTCACCTTAACTGCTTATTTTTAATGTAATATAAAAAGACATTTTTATCACATGATTAACAGATTTAATCAAATTTGATGCATGCGTACAGATTTTTGCACGATACTTCAATACTTAAAAGTTTGAGAATTTTTTATCGTAGTGCATATGACTCTTACAATCAAAATAAACTTTGCATCTTATTTATTCAACACAAGCAACACTACAAAAACCTTTTTTTTTCATTGCTAAATTTCGTTCTTAAATTAAATTAAAGATTTGAGATATATAAAATGAAATAAAAAGAATAACCAAATTTATCAAAGCAATCCATTGTATTAAAAATATTATTAAAAAAATTGTGCTAGGGAATTAACAGAATTCTAGAAGGAGATACGAATAAAGATATTCATCGTGTGCTATAACTTCTGACGTCACAGCTACTTCGAAAATCAGTTGTTAGGATTTTTGTCAAGCAGGCGTTGCTATATCAGTCCTCAGACTTTCTTGCGTAACAAGCAAAAATCTCTTTTACAGTGGATATATTAGTTGCAACTTCTTTATAAAAACTAATTATTATTATTCGATACATCAGATCCGTTAGAGAAATTGAATCTTAAAAATTATGTACCCCAAAAATCCTTGAAAATCATCAAATTAGGAGTAAAAGTCACGAAATATTCGTGATCGGTAAACACACTAGTACTGCACATTTTAATTATTAAATAAAATATTTCACTTTTTAACCGTCTTTGAGCAGCTGATCCGGGGTTTTTTCTTCTTTTTTTTTTGGGGGGGGGGGGGGGGTGGGTTACGACAACTAATATTCAACTCCGTAGATTTGTAATTTTGAAACTAATACAGAAGACAAGGGAACTCCCGTATAAAGTATTGGGAGAAAATTTACTATCGTGGAGGGCTTTTTTGGTGAAACTAACCAGCATTTGCGTTACATTGAGAGGTAAACCATGAAAACCTCTCATGATTAGTCTGGCGGCAACGGGATATAACATTTATATTTCTTTAATAAAATTTATATCAAATGCCATATAGCGATTTAATTTCAGAATAATCAATCCTTTAGCAATATTTTTTATTTCACTTTATAACCATCGTTGAACAGCAGACCTAATTTTAACTTTACGACTACTAATGCTCAGCTCCGTAGCCTTGTAATTTTGAACGCAATCCAGAAGACAAGGGAACTGCTGGATCAAGCATTGGGAGGAATTTGCCATCCTGGAGGTCTTTTTGTTGGAACTAACTCGCAAATACGTTACATGGAGAGGAAAAATACGAAAACTTCCCATAATTAGCTTGATGGCAAGGGGACTCTAACTCATGATCCGACTACCACTGAAGGTATTTTACGTCAGCACTGCGGCGTAAAATATCGGCGCAAACTAACCGGTCATGAGATTGCATAGTCTCGCCTGATTTTTGAGGTATTATGTTAATTTGATATAAAGTTCTTCTTAAAATGTGTTGCAAAAATATTTTATAAAATCTTTAAAGGAAGCAGATGAGCGTTGGTGGGTTTTTTGCTTCATCAGCTTTTTGCTGGCCATCGTTCAAAATAATGGTTAAGGTCGAAACGAGTTTTAGCTAAATTCTGACCTAGAAAACATAAGACAGAACGTCACGTCAAAAGTAGTCGTCTTGTAAGAAATTGCTAACACAAGGTACAAAAATTTCGGTCTATACAAGGTTTGACCGCTATATGATTTAGAAAGATAAAAGTTTGAATTTAAACTCGAAATCAAACCGTTTTGAACATATCTAACAAAAAGGGTTGGTCAAAAAAGGTTTTGAAAAATTATAAAAATTTAAGTTTAATTTTTAAAATAGAAAGTAGATACGAAAGTCTGGGACTAAAAATAAAACCATGCATGTATAGTCAACTCTACTTTTTTAACTAAATCAATTTGTTGGCCTATGCAATATTGCATGCAAATTATAAATGCAAATATTTAATTGATACAAATATTTGCTTACCTCCAAATGAATCAATTTATTTCAAATGTTTAGTATCTAATAATATGCCGCAATTTATTTATTTTTTTAAATATAAATTAATCGAAATATAAAATGTGAATAAAAACTATTGCAAGTAAATATTAAAACGCATGATTAAAAAAACAGTAGTTTCAGTTAAAATATTTAATAATAAAGTCAAATAAAAAATACGCCTTTAAGAAAGAGGCTTCAGGCTAAAGACTTGAATTGGATATGTAAAATTTTACAATGAAAAGCTCAAGAAAAAGAAAATAGGTTAAGCTCTTTTCAATGGCTGACCAAAAGACTGACTCTAGACAGACTGACCGAAAAAATACCAACAGAATAGTATTATGTTTCTATAAAGTTGATACATCTGAAGTTCCAGAACTTTTGATGATTATCAGTCGGATCAATTTATTTTGAGTGTAAATCGGACAAAAAATTAATTCCTTGTAAATTTTGAAAGGTCACAGATGGAAGTAAAAAACTAGTTCAAAGCAATATTGACAATGATGGTGACAATTTATCGAAGCAAACAAGATTTTTCCATTGAGTAATATGAGCCGGCATCTGAATAAAAGGGTGCACAGTGGTCGGTAAAACTACATTTTCTTTGTAGTTAACTACAACTAATTTATTACAACTGTAGTTAACTACAACTGCTTTTTTTTGCCTTTTGAAATTTAGTTACTATTTCACTACTTTTTAAAGATATATAATATATAATGAATATATATACTTCGAAATATATACTTCATTGGAGAGCATAATTCACACAAATGTTCAAAATGGTTTTGACTAAAAAATTGGCTTAATTAAGCATGAGAAGTTATTAAAAACTATTAATTCATATTTACATGAGATAGTTACTTATTCTAAAGCACTTTTTACAAATTTATTTTTTTAACCTTTAAACTCTTCTTGACTGTGAATATTTAATTAAGGAAATTATCAAATATTTGGGATTTAAGTGATTCAAACTTTTTTATATCCTAAAAGAAATAAAGTAAAGCGCACAAAATAGAAGAAAAAAATGGAAAACCCTGAATAGCTTTGTATTTAATAATCGGATATGCACGTTCTAGGACTCAATCTTAATAATTCGATTTCCAATTATTCCTTTGTTTACTAGATTTCCAATGGTAATGAACGAAATTACTTAAGAACATGAAAAAATAACTGCTGCCAACGGAAATGGAAAAAAACTTGCTCTGGAGCATCAGACGAAACAATTTTTTTTCTCCAGGGTAGAGAGTTCACCTTTTCAATGGGGTGAACATGGTTGGAATCCCAGCGATGGCAGGTCGATACGAACTCCGCATTCGGCTTGCACCGACCACAGTGCTGACGTCAAATATCCTCAATGGTAGACGGATCATGGGTTAGAGTCCCCTTGCCGTCAGGCTGACCGTGGGAGGATTTTTGGCTGTCCTCCCCATGTAACGCAAGTGCGGGTTAGTTCTACCAAAAAGTACCCCATGAAGGAAATTTTTACCAATACTTGATCCAAGAGTTTCCTTGTCTTCTGGATTGGGTTCAAAATGACAAGGCTACGGAGTTGAACATTAGTAGTCGTAAACCCAAAAAATTGGGCCGGCTGTTCAACGACGGTTATAAAATAAAATAAACTTTAAAAGAAGTTGGTAGAAATCGCTACAAATTGGGTTTTTTTTTTTTGTGTCGCACTATACGCTACACTCCTTCTGCTTTTAAGAAGTTGCGCACTACACTGCAAACTACGAAAAAAAGTAGTGATTGAAGAGGATTCGCTATCTGTAGGGCGTTACTTCCGACCACTGAGAGTGCATTATTTTGATTCTCTTAACTCTGTGGTGAATTTTCAAAAGAAAGAAAAACTGATGATTGATATCAAAGGAATCGATTCGCAATTCAGGTTGTTTAATAAAATTCTACATGCATAATTGGGTACACTGCCAATCGCCAACCGCTATTTTATTCCTTCTTTCCATGTTAAACTTCCATGTTAAAATTTCAATGTTAAAATGTGTGAGCAGATTTAATCAACGTGGGTGATATAAATGTATTTTCAAAGAAAAATCTTAATTGTACAGTATTGTTTATTAATTGTGTGAAAATACAGAACAAACCAACGATAAAAAAATAATAAGAAAACTTCCACAATGCTTCACTATAGCTCGTTCACCAATAGTTGACACTTGGCTCCGCCTTCATCACGTGGTTCATCAATGATACTATTTCGCTATTTTTGGGAAAAGCTTGTGAGCAATCCTGAGCAAAGTTGCTATTTAATTTTAAAACCGCCGTTGAACAGTCGACCCAATTCTATGAGTCTACGACTACTAATGTTCAACTCTGTAGCCATGTTATTTTGAACCCAATCCAGAAGACAAGGGAACTGCTGGAACAAGTATTGGGTGAAATCTGTCTTCTTGGAGGATTTTTGATGGAGCTAACAAGCATTTGCGTTACATGAAGAGGACCACTAGAACCTTCGACGGTTAGCCTGACGGCAAGGAAACTCTAACCCATGATCCGTCTACCACGGAGGATATTTCACGTCAGCACTGTGGTCGGTGCAAGTCGGATGCGGAATTCGCATTGACTGGGATTCGAACCTGGTTCTCCTCATTGGAAGCCAAACGCTCTATCCTCTGAGCCATCGCGGCTCAGAGGTTGCTATTTGGCGATATTATGGCAAAATATTTATTTCGCAAACTTTATGTGCATTTAATGTTTCATAAATTTTATATTTCACACCATTTTGTTTACAATATTTACTCTCTTTAGGGTGAATAGTTTGTCTTTTTTTTAGACATTTTTCTGGGAAAACGGCAGTTTTTAAATTTAAAATGTATTTAATTAGCTAGAGAAACGAAAGGTATAATAGCAGATGATGAAGCAAAGTAAGTGACTGAAAAATAATTAACTGTTTGTGTTTGGCTTGCACTAAAGGTTGTCTAAATTTCAAGCGCCAAGATGTTTCTCTTCTTACTCCTGCGCTGAAATGAACTCTACTTCCGAGATGGTGGAGCCAAGTGTCAACTCCTGCAGAATGAATTATATTCCCAGTATTAGTTAGGAGGAGAGGATGGTTCTGAGGGGGAGGAACCCTCTCATATTAAGTTGAAGACAACTATGACAACAATAAACTTAAACATTTATTTAACAACTGAACATAACAAGCTAAAAACAGAAACATAAAAATTAAGTAAGACTGTGTGGGATAGAGACTGAGTAAAGTTCGAAGCTTCTTAAATACTGGGGCAGTTCCAAGGTTGCCCATCGTGTGTTTGTAATCCCGTTGATTCTTTTGGCGCATACGCACCATGCCTGGCGCCACAGTTCTAACTCGTTTCAAAAACCTGTTGAAAAATTTTGTTTTCTCCTTTATACACAAGAAGGCACCTAACATCGGGGAACTAGTTTACATAATGTAAATGAAAGCTAGACTTCTTTTCCTATGTATATTCTTTGATACAACTACTCGTTCAGATTATTGAAATAGTTTATTTTCATTGCTATTTCATTTTATAGACATTGCTTTGCACAATTTAAATTACTAGAAATTAACTCAATATTTTTCCTAAATGTTTTTCTGTTTGTTTTGTTTCAAATTTATTGTGATATTTTACACTTTTTCCGATTGACTTATGAAACAGAAGATACTTTTAGATAATAATAAATATATGGATTTTAAAAAAATTACTTTTAATTTCTAATGTAAAAAAAGAGAAAAAAAATCATTTTTATTTTTTAAAATAGTTTTTAATTTTTTACAGGTTAGAAGCAGAAATTTAAGAAGATTACTGGAGGGGATGACTCCCCTATCATATGCCTATGAATGGAGTTCTTTCTAAATGAGCGGTAATTCCAATATTCTTGGCTCCTTAAATATCTATTAGTTTATCATTTATCACGTGGTTGATCGTGTGATACTGTTGATGAAAAACTACTCGCTACTTTTCTTTTTTCAGACAAAATTGAGTTTTAATTCATCTTAAAAATTGCAGACATATATTTCTAAAATTATTATTGCGTTTTTGTCAAAGATAAAAGATTTTTCTTTAAAAAATAAGGACGTAATTTTTGCAGGTAATATACCGAAATGTTTAACTGTGTTATAGGGATAGTACAGGGAGTTACGTTTACTAACCCTCACCCTCAGTAGTGTTAACATATCTCGGAAATTTTGCAAGCAATTTTTAGCATAATAAAGTGTTTTCTTTCAAACATGTTTGTGTAAGGTCATAAGATATCAAACTTTTTCTTAATTTCCTGCTAAACGAGTAATGGTTTGAATGCTAAAAGTTTGAATGCTAAAAATGAGAGGAAAATTCGCAAGTATTCGGCCCAGAATTTGCATATTAGAAAATATCTGCACTTAAGGAGACAAAGGACTTTCAAAAATATTTTTAAAAATTATCGAGGGATTTGTTTGTAATTCTCAGTATACATTGTTAAAACAACTTTTATGCAAAATTTCAAAAAAATATTTTAAAGTTTCAGAAATTAAAAGAAAATTTTGAATTTTTTTTGTTTTTTTTATACTATTCTTCACATCTGAAATTTTGTTAAAATGACAAAATTCTTTTAAAATATTACATATTAGGTAATGAAAAAAATTGTTGGGAGCATTTTTTAAAATTTTATTATTGAAACAAATAACAGTTAAAAAGCAGAAAAAAACAGCATTTTTGAAAGAAAAAAATCATACCGCTATGAAATATCATGAATAAAAATAATACTAGATACTGAATTCAAAAAACTTTTCCATCAAAATGTTAATAATATTCATAAATATTAGTGGGCTGCACCTCCTGCTCACTAACTCTCGCCAACCCCCGAAAATTGCTACGCAATCTTATATGGTTTGCTTCGCTCGCTACTAACTTAGATACATTGCAAATGCACAAAATTCTAAGAATTCAAAACATTCATTCAAATCCATATAAAAACTTTTTTTTAAAAAAAATTGCATCTTTTTAGTAAATACTAACTCATTAAAATAAATTTGAATTCAAATAAATGACATGTAATTCGCGTAATGACATATAATAAATGACATTCATAAAAAAAGCGCTTTTGACAAAATACTAAAACAGAGATCTATCGACAAAGACTACTCACTTCTGCCTAGCTTAATAGTATGAGATTGCTGCAGCTGATGCTCTCTGGTTATTTCAGTTTCCGTTTTTAAAAGCGCTATATGTTGAGCCACCTCAGCTAGATTTGGCATGTGACATTCTTAGCGGCAATCACTGGTCGATTCGCCGTGTAATAGAGATAGTAACGTAAACAAAACAAAGCAAACGTTGCCACCGGCGGAAAAGAAATACAGTCAAAATTTGGGAGCCGCGTGTGAGAATTATATATAAGATATAGCATCAAATTCTCTGGTCAATAGAATGAAAATTCATTTCGTTGAAACGGTTTGAAATTTGTAAATTAGTCAAAAAAGACATTTTGAGAAAAATGACTTCTACTACTTTTTTCATTGCAGGGCGTTTCAAAGGGGCGTGGTCAAAACAGAAATGACCATAACTTCAATTTAGCTCTAATTCAAGAATTTTTTTTTTAATGTTATGTTAAATGCCTAGGTTTCGAAAATATAAAAAGTGAAAAATTGAATTTTTGGCAAATTTTTGCTTGTTTGAAAGTTCCTTGTCACCTTGATTGCTTATTATTAATATAATATAAAAAGACATTTTTATCACACGAGACATTAACAGATTCAATCAAATTTTATACATGCGAACAGACTTTTGCACGATACTTTCATACTTAAAAGTTTGTGAATTTTTTATACGAAGTGCATTTGATTCTTACAATCCAAATAAACATTGCATCTTATTTATTCAACACAAACAACACGACAAAAACTTTTTTTTTCATTGGTAAATTTCGTTCCTAAACTAAATTAAAGAATTGAGATGTATAAAATGAAATAAAAAAAATAACCAAATTTATCAGGGAAATCCATTATATTAAAAAAAAAAAGATTGAGCTAGGAAATTAATAAAATTCTGGAAGGACAGAGGAGTAAAGCCCGACCCTCATCGTCTCCTATAGCTCCTACGTCACAGCTACGGCGAAATTCAGGATTTTTTTTCAAGCAGGTGTTGTTATATCCGTCCTCAGACTTTCTTCCATAACAAGCAAAATCTCTTTTACAGTGGATATATTAATTGCAACTTCTTTATAAAAACTAATTGTTATTATACGATACATCAGATCCGTTAGAGAAATTGAATCTTTAAAATTATTTACACCAAAAATTCTTGAAAATCAGAGAATAAAAGACACGAAAATATTCGTGATCAGTAAACGCACTGGTCCTGCACATTTTAATTAATAAATTAAAAAATTTGTCTTATAACTGTCGTTGAACAGCCAACCAGTTTTTTTTCGGGGGGGGGGGGGGTNGGGGGGGTTACGACTACTAATATTCAACTCCGTAGCCTTGTAATTTTGAACCTAATACAGAAGACAAGGGAACTCTTGGATCAAACATTGGAAGAAAATTTGCTATCGTGGAGGGCTTTTTTGATGAAACTAAACCCGCATTTGCATTACATGGTGAGGAAGACCACGAGAACCACCCATGGTTAGCCTGGCGGCAAGGGGATATAATATAGGGTGTTTCATATTGAATGGGACAAAAAGAAACATGATTGTAAACGTTATAATTAATATATTTAGAAAATTCAAATTTACCTCAAAACTACATTTATTCAAGTTTCTACAGGTGTTCAATATATGCCCCTCCGGTGCCACGACAAATGTCTACACGGTAATCACGCTCCTGCCACACTCGTGATAGCATATCCCCTGTGATGGAGTTCAACACTGCAGTTTCAGTTCCTCTAAGTCCTGAGGAAGTGGAGGCACAAACACCTTGTCTTTAACGAAATCCCAGAGAAGAAAATCACAGAGCGTTAGATCTGGTGATCTCGGGGGCCAATGAAGACATGTCAAATCCTGTTTCCCAGCACGGCCAATCCAGCGATGGGGTAGGCGTTCTTTCAGGAACTCAAGTACGTTGTTATTCAAATGTGGGGGAGCACCATCTTGCTGCAAAATTAAATCAGGAACAGCTTCCTCCAGCTGGGGGAGCAACCAGTCATAGAGCATGTCTTGGTAAATGTCCCCATTAATCGATTTTTCAGCAGCGAAAAATGAACCAAATACACAACTGTTTGATAAAGCGCAGAAAACGTTCACCTTGGGAGAAGCACGCTGATGTTCTAATGTTACATGGGCATTTTCCGTGCCATAAAATCGCAAATTATGACGATTAACTTTGCGACATAAGTGGAACGTGGCTTCATCGGTAAACGCCAACCATTCACGTCGAGCTTTTCCTGAAATTTCACACAGAAATTCTTACGCAACGGTTTATCAGTAGGTTTTAAAGCCTGGACCATCTGATATCTGTAAGGCTTGAATTGGAGACGCTTCCGTAAAACACGCCATACCGTTATGTGAGGGACAGCCAGTTCTGCGCCTGCACGTCGCGTTGATTTTAAGGAACTCCGTAAAAAACGAATCACGAATTCTTTCAACCACTTCGGATTTTGTTTCTTTTCGTCCTCGGCTTTTGTTCTTGCATAAGCACCCGGTATCCTGGAACTGCTTCACCCACCTGCTTATGTTATGACGAAGTGATGGTTCTTTACGAAATTTCGTACGAAAATGTCCTTGCACAACAGTTACCGAGGCGGTTTTGGCATATTCGAAAACGCAGTACGCTTTCTCCTGCATGGACGACATTTTGTTTAACAGCGCCTCTAGTGGCGAGTTCGTCATTCGATGATTTTTCCCTGCTGCCAAATAAAACTTGTCTAATTGTAGTTGCAGAATAAATTTGTTTCGTCTGAATAAATCCATTGCGGCAGTCACACTGCGCTATTCTTTTTGTCCCATTCAATATGAAACACCCTGTATTTATATTTCTTTAAGAATTATATCAAACATCATATGGTGATTTAATTCTAGACTAATCAATGCTTTAGCAGTAATTTTTAACTTTAATTTATAACCATCGTTGAACAGCAGACCTAATTTTAAGTTTACGCCTACCAATGCTCAGCTACGCAGCCTTGTCATTTTGAACCCAATCAAGAAGACAAGGGAACTCCTGGATCAAGAATTGGGAAGAATTTGCCTTCGTGGAGGACTTTTAGATGGAACTAACTCGCATGTACGTTACATGGAGAGGGAAAATACGAAAACCTCCCCCGGTTAGCTTGACGGCAAAGGGACTCTAGCCTATTATCCGTCTACCACTGAAGATATTTTACGCCAGCACTGTGGTCGGCGCAAGCCGGATGCGAAATTCGTATCAACCAGCTGTCGCTGAGATTCGAACCCGGTTCACCTCATTGGAAGGCGATCGCTCTAACCCCTGAACCCTCACGGCTGAACTAAAATATTATAAAAAATTTTAAAAATCAACTTTTTTATGCTCTAAAAAGTTATATCGCGTGCAACTTATAAAAATTGAAATAGTCTCGGCTAATTTTTGACGTATTATGTTAATTTAATATAAAGTTTGTCTTAAAATGTGTAGCAAAAATATTTTATAAAATCTTTAAAGGAAGCAGATGAACGTTGGTGTGTTTTTTGCTTCCAGAACTTTTTGTTGGCTATCGTACAAAATAAAGGTGATGGTCAAAACAAGTTTTAACTAAATNCTCTGTATGTCATCTTTTTACGTGTTTTCCTTTTTAATCAATCAGATGCAGGAGTGAACGAAATACATATATATGGTTAGCGCTGAAATCACATTTAAAAGAAGCCGTTACATTGAAGATAATCTGGTGCAGCCATCTTGTGTGTAATAAAAGAATTTAAAAAAATTCGGGCACAACAGACGGATATGTTTAAACCTTTTTGGTGCTTTACTTTTGAACGCTCTATCCCGGAAGTATCACGGGCACGAGAAATGGGAGACGAAAGCTCACCCTTTGGTTTTGACGGGAAAGAGAGGGAAGGGGCTAAGAAAATTTTTGAATTATAAACCAATGACCTAGTTTGAATTTTACCTCTAAAGATCAGTCCATTTTGACCCAGAAATCACGAATGAATTATGCCTCAAAATGTTAAGCTTTGTATAGGATATCGTTAACCCATCAAACAGTTTTTCCAAAATTTTATGCCTAAAAAAATTTAACAGAATTTTTGTCCACGGAACCACAAGTTTGAGTTATGCCCTAAAACGTTAGCCTGTTGTATAAAATTACTTAAAAAAACTTCCAGAATAAAAATTAGAGCCAAAATATCTTTTAGTTTTTTTAAAAAAATCTGACTCTTTGAAAGGAAGCTCAAATTTTCCCCACGTAGTACCATTTCGTAATCCTATGTTTGTGCACGAAAATTTTTCGTCAGCGAATTAACACAACTAATTTTTCAACCACATTTACAAATTTTATTGAGAATTGTTAGCCCATTGAGCCTCTCATGTTTACCCACTAAAGAGTTTTCGCAGCCAACCCTCTCCCCTCCCCCCAACCCAAAAAAAGCTACAACAAAAACTGGTTTTCAACAACAGCAACAAAAAAATCAGAAGTTAGAGTTTGTGTCTGAAAACGTTAGCCTTTTGCAGGAAATCGTGAGCTCACTTTCGATCACCAAAACTTTTCAGAACTAAAATAAGTTTTAGCTAATTATTGATTAAAAACTGAAACTTTTAATGTTGCCTTTAAAGTTTGGTCAATATTAAGACCGCTGTAATAATAAAAAATGTCCGCTGTAGATAACCTATTGAAAAACAATAATGGCCAAATCAGCATTTTGTACACATTTAATTAATCTAAGCGTTTTTTTTTTAAGTATTAAAACCATACCGTATTGTACACCTAATTAAAGAAATTGTTAGCCCACTTAAACTTAACAACGAAACAAGTTGACTGAAATTTTAACAAAAAACGAAACATTTCCATTCTACCGCTGTTAGTCCATGCTCAGAAATCGTTACCCCACCTGCTAAAAATAATGATTAAGACAAATATTAGGTACTTTTTAACCAGTAAACAAGCCCTCTAAACCTTAACCCGTAAAAAAAAAATTCTAACCAAGAATAGGTTACAAAACAAGTAAAGAGAGTTGTCTGAATTTTGTGTCCCCCCTCCCAAAAAAAAATCGTTAACTTTTCCACTAAAAAACAATTATGGCCAAATAAAGTTTCAGCTTAATTTTTTAGCCTGTAAAACACTATTAAAATTTTCCCTTGAACAATACTTCTTTGTTTCTTAACAGTCATTCCATGGAGAAAAAAAATATGAAAATAGTTTAAGTTTATTTTTAAACAAAAAACTAAGAATTAGAATTTTCTCTTCTAATATTAGACTTTTATAGGAAATCGTTAACCCACCCAATTTTTGTTAGCCTGTCAGACAAAAATCGAAAATTCTAATCAAAATATATTGAGAAAATCTATATCTCTTTTGAATTACTCTCTTTCTCATTTTCTTCAGGGAATTTTTGAAATTGTGCGCTTTGAAATACTTATTATAATATTTGATTTATAACTATTTTCTTTGCAATTTCAGGTTTTGCCTTTAGTTTCTTAAGAGGGAAGATAAAGCCACTGATAGCAACTAAAATGGAACTGTTTGCTAATAAGTTCGAGGTGAGGCGACTATGGCTATTATTCTTGAAAAAGAAATAGCTCAAAAGTGACGATTTTCAAAAAATTTACAACTTTATAAAAAGATTAATTTAAGAAAAATTGTTAAAAGTTGGTAATTTGCCCCATATTGATCAAATTTATATATAAATATCAAATTTCGAAAATCATGTGGAAATGGTGGAAAAGTAATGCATAAATTCCTGAAAAATACACAGAAACGGATTTCAATGCGTATTAAAACCGTCGTGAGCAATATCAAAAAGTGATAATTCAAATTCTTAATCGCGTGTCGTAATATCATCATATATCGGAATCTTATCACAAAAAAGGTAGAAAAGGAATTAAAAATCTATCAGTAAATGACGTCATATTATTATTGAATGACACAAATACAATGCGTCAGAGTAATTAATTATTCCATGCAGTAAAACCTCTTGGGAGCGACCACTCTCCGTTCCACAGTTGATGGAGGTTCTTCATTCTTAGAGGTTACCTCCATTGATTTCAAAATTGTTATCGAAGGTACATGATTTTTCGCAAACTATTTTAATTTTAGTTAGTGCCATTTTCTGGACGCTGGAATGCCACTTCTGTTGGCGTCATGAAAAGACACATCGGCGAATAAAATTTAGCATCTATAAAAATGATCCCAACTGATATAATAATGTGTAAAAACAAATTTAACAATTATGAATGATAAAGCTATTTTAAATCAAAAAAATTATTTTTTTTTGTTTTGTTTAAGTCTGCATTTAATTTCATATCATAAAAATTAGCTAGCTTTGAAAGATGAGAAGAGGTTTTTGTTTTCGTTTGAGATGCTTTTATTTTCTAAAATAACTTTTTCTTTTTCTAATTTAACGTTCAACTCTAAAAGTGAATCATATTATAGCATCGACTTTAGTGCACTCTGTCTGCAACATGAGGCTGTATCGTCAAAAAGAGCTCCCTAAATAAAAGTCTCCCACAAATATTTTAAACACATTTTAATCTACTTATTTGCTTAGTTAAACTTTTTGTTTTTATATTTTTTTAGTATTTCCTTATTTGACCTTTTCCGTGTTTGGTGCAGATGCATGGAGAGGGAAGCTGGGAGAGGTTTTAATGGTCTCTCCTAAAGATTTTTTTTAATACAAAGTCTATGGAAAATATTCCATGTCTCCCAAAAGTGGTCGTAAATAGAGGTGGTCGCTCCTGTAGGTTTCACTCTGATTCGAAATTAAAGCGTCTTAATCTCAGATAAAAAAAAATACTGGAATTTCAAAACCCATGACGCTGTAATTAATGTTGTTAGGCCAACAACTTCCAGAAGAAAGAAGGCCGCAGCACGGATCAATTTAGTAGTCCGTCGTAACAAACATAAACTGCGCAGTGGATGAAAAATAAGAAAGATGTCACCGCGTTCGGACAGCAAATCTGCACAGTGGTGGTCATTCGAAAGATATCATTGCGTTTTAGACTACTAAAGTATAAGATTTCTTGTTTATGGTAACCTATGCTGAGGCCTTCTCTTTTCTAGGAGGTATTGGTTAGACTGTCGTTACTTTAAAATTCGAGTATCGTAATATTGAAAAGATATTAAAATACAGTACATTTACTTTCGAAACGCGATTTTCACACGTTGACGTGAACACTCAAATTTCAAATGGCGTCTCGTACTAATATCCAATCGTACATCAAAATATCGGAACTAAACCTGTCAGAAATGGACAAAACAATCAAGATGTGCTGCTAAGGAAATATGAAAGCGTCGTGGATGAAATCAGCAGATTGTGGGTAACAAAAGAGTGATTTCTTAAATGGGATATTTTGACTTGAACCTATTTTTTGTACCTACTCGTATTTTTGAAAATGACCAGAAATAGGTACACAAAAAAAACAAAGTGGGGTTTTCAATGAAACTGTCACGCTTTTATCTTATGAATAAAGTGATAAACCAAAAATCGCGTATCATAACATCATATTCAAAATTTTGAAATTTCTTAAACTTCATTGAAATAACCAAAAAGCGATCAAAAATCCATATTGATTTCTTGGAAGTCTATGTGAATAGATCGATTATTTTTTTTAACATTATGTATGCATATACTATGTGAGGGTTATACGTTAGAAGGTGATAGAACAAAACTATACAAACACAAATCACCCTGCAATCCATGGTCATAAATCCCTATAGTGTACGAAAGATGCTGGTTTCACGAAATGATGGAAAACAAGACAGAGATGAAATGGAAAAAAAACATTATAAAATGAATTAAAGTAATTTTAACAAAATTAAACAGTTAAACACCCGTCACGAGAACTGCTCTGACTTGCAATCGACAACATTAACGCAAGAATTGGCGAAAACACCACCTAAGTCAAAAATTTTGATAGTTTTCCATTGATGAACCAACATGATCTTGATGGTAACCATCAATAATTCCATTATAAACCAATATATTTTTTAATGATAAACAACATAAGTAACCATCACCTCTATGTGGGAATTTGAACTAATTTTTGATGGTCCAACATAAGAATAACAACTTGTTTTGATCGTTTGTTCATGTTGAACCATCAGAAATTTCCATCATAATTTTTTTAAAAAAAAAATGTTGGGACGATCATGAACCACCATCACCCCAATGTAGAAATTCGGACTAATTTATGATATGCCAACATAAGAATATCCCGAATTGCGTTGATGGTATATTCTTGCTGAACCAACAAGAATTATTATTAAACCATCACGGAAATGCCTTGTTGTATCATTATGGACCATCACGAATTTCCTTCATAGTATCTTAGAAATCAAATGCTGGAACGATCATGAACAACAATCATCTCAATGTAGGAATTCGGACTGATTTATGATGGTCCAACGTAAAAAAAAAAACAAATTGTTTTGATGGTATATTCCTGAGAACCAGCAAGAATTCCCATTAAACCATCATGGAAATGAACAGTTGAAACCTTCACGGATCATCATGGATTGTTGTTCCATGAGAATCAAACTTCTCTTGATGGTTAACCACCATAAAATTAAAATATCATTTTCCATCATGAAATGATGGATGTTTTTTAGCACATGAAAAACCATGAACGCATAATGGAAAGTTTGGTGGTGACCATCACCAACATCATGGCTTGCATTTGATGGTCACCAACATCATTTGATGGTGACCATCAAATGATATTGGGCCATCATGAATCGCACTGAAATCAACATAAACAATCAAAATTTTTTGATGGGGCCATCAAGAATATTGACTTGGGCATGTATTTCTCTTGTGGTGTCAGCATCTACGGATATCAGAGGAAACAGGGTCTTTAACAAAATCAATGGGACCATCGTCGTAGATGAGGCTCGCTTCATATGACCCCAGGAAAACAAATTCAGGCATGAAAAATTGGGTGACGGCCAGTTGATTGAACCACCACGGCGTATTCGTCATCCCGGATACATGATATCTAAGGCGTTGCGCACATCCACAAATTTATGGGTAGATGCCCAGTCGTGCTGGAACAACACCTGCTAGAAAAGAGCAGGCCTCAGCACGGATTACCATAAATATCCCTTAGTAGTCCAAACGTAATGAGATATTTCGTATTTTCAACCACTGCGCAGGTTAGTACCCTGAACGTATAGAAATCTTTCTTATTTTTCAGCTACTGCGCAGTTAACTTCGTTACATCGGACTACTAAATTGATCCGTGCTGAGGCCTTCCTTCTTCTAGGAGGTGTTGGCTGGAAACACATGAGTTGTGTAATGGAAGACGAGTTAATAGTTCTGCCAACACCTCTCGCAAATGCACAAGGTATGAATCTCTCTCCAGGTGTAGTTTCACCATATTGTTTGGCGCAGCATGTCCTCATTTGGACCTTATGCCACTAAACCCTACATTCAATCAATCAATCAACTCTCCAGGCGTGTTGGCACTAGATATGGCCCAATCAGATGATCGTGCACCATTCGGTCAAACATTTAGAATGAAAACGTTACTGGAACAAACTTGGACCTAATACGTACGGGCTTTTAGTTGCCCAATATTTGATAGCTGTAGACGAGGGTCTCTGAACAACACTTGTGAACAACGAGTTGGGTCCACAGACATCATCAGCAAGGTAAAATTGATAAGTGTCTGATAATCCGATAGTTCTAGGCTAAGAATGTTCTGCGTATGGTAGGTATGTATTTCTTTATCCCGTAGCATTTGCCACACCTCATTATGAGAAACGTAAACAAGCTGAGACATTTCCCTCGTGCTAGATTCAATCCTCTCGCTGATAGGATGCGAAATTTCGTACGGTACACACCTCCCACATCCAGTATCCTGCATGCAACTTAAAGAGAAACCCTTTTCGCAGAGGTGCTTGGTACATTCACTGAAATATCCTCGCATCAGCGACACATCTTGTTGGAAAACGCTTTTGGTCAAATCTTTGAGCTTCCCTTGCAATGCCGTCTGCATTTACGTACATGTAATGAATCTCCGCCTTCTCCTCATTTGAATACGCATTCATCTGATCGGAGAAGCGCAGAACAAATAGAAACAGTTACTCTGTCGTGCAACTTTATAACCGTAGTTGAACGGCCTGTCAAATTTTTGGGTTTACGACTACTGATGTTCAATTCAGTATCCTTAGAATTTTAAACTCAATCCAGAAGACAATGGATTTCCGAGAGTAAGTATTGGCAGAAGTGTGCCTTCGTGAGTGGCTTTTTGATGGAACTTACCCGCATTTGCGCTACATGAAGTGGAAAACCACGAAAACCTCTCACAGTTAGCCTGATGGCAAAGGGACTCTAACCCATGATACATCTATCACTGAGGATTTTTTACGTCTATACTGTGGTCCGTGCAAGCCGGATGTGGAATTGGTATCGATCAACCACCGCTGAGATTAACCCGGTTCACATCATTGAAAAGCACACGCTTTATCCCCTGAGCCATGACTGCTCGCTCCTGAGCAATTGAAAATGCAACGTAAGTGATAGACGATTGATTCCGAGAAAAGTGGCTAGACAACTATTTTTTTCTATTGTCAATGCTATGAAAGGTAAAATAGAATGTCAAAAAACTGATATAGTACACCAAAGAGCCATTGCATTATGACCACCCTGCTAATAACATGTAGGACCACCTTTAGCCCTCAAAATTGCTAGCAACAGCAGTGGTATTGATTCCACAAGGTGCTGATAGGTAGCCTGAGGTATCTGGTACCTAGCGCTTACCAACTGGTCCTGCTATTCCCTCACATTGCGAGGGGGTAGCGTGGCAGCACGAATTGGGTTTTCCAAGTAGGACCACAAATGCTCTACCAGATTAAGGTCGGGTGAATTTGGGGGCCAAGACATGACTTTAAAATCACTTGAATGTTCCTCGACGATTCGACCCTTATGACATGGTGCATTATCCTGTTGGTAAACACCATCTCCCGCAGGAAAAACTGCTGCCATGAACGGGTGAACCTGGTCTGCAACTATATTCAAGTAGCTTACAGGCGTCAGAGATTGTTCTATGAGGATTATGGGTCCTAATGTGCCCCATGAAAACCTGGGCGAGCCCATTGTTATAGATGGAGGGTGGTCATAATGTGATGGCTTTTCGGTGTATATTGTTTTGGCGATAAGAAGTTTACTATGTTACGTAGTTCCTGATGCAAGGATATTCCAACGAATGCCCCAAAACTCGGCTAGAGGAGACGGCTAGAAGTTACATGCGGAATACTGGACGTGGCAGGTGAGTAAGAACGCCATCTGTAACGGTGACGAAATTGTGCATCGTATCAACGCGAGAACTGAATCTTGCACGCGGGAAATATCTCAGCTCATTTACGTTTCCCGTAATATAATAATGGCAAGGTTCTGCTTAATAACCATGCAAAGATGCCTGCCAAATACATAAAATTCTAAGTTTGAATTTTTTGACTGCATAACAGCACTGTGAACAGCCTTCTTATGGATCGCTGGGGGGCTCTCTCTAGTGAGTTGCGACTTACGTTTGGACCATACATTGTACGAGGATTTATAGCTCTGTTCTGCCTAGTTCTGTTCTATCATCTCCTAACGTAAGTACCATGAGTTTTGGGACAACTGTATATAAAGAGCATAATCAAGATTAGATTAACGAACATACTATGAGAATTTTTTTATACCAAGCTCAAACCTTTCAGCGCTTTACACACTTTTCAAGTAATGGACCCCATTATTTCTTTATGTAATTTTTTTAATTTATGCGCTACTTTTATTAATCGAGACAAAATTGTCTGGAATAATAAAAATAGCACATAAATTAAATGGTAAGGTGATATGCAAGGTGAGAAACAAATCCATCCTGTGTTTGAAAGGCTTATCAACAAATTTTACTTTACTTGATAAATAAACTTTTTTTAAAAAACGTTCGATTTGTGAATCTTTGGTGATGCGGCAGAATTCGAATTCTTGCCACACTCGCTACAATATGCCACGAACAATGGTAGTGGATGTGGCTCTTCATCGTTATCCTGCTAAATCATAAAATTTTTGATGTAATCTCATACAAAATATCAGGGATTTAAATCTGGAGATCGAATCAAATTTTTTAAAAACCCTGCAATGACACAACCTGCAATTCTGTTAATACAATTTAGACTGCTTTTTGGAACCATGCTTCTACTAAAGTAGTTATTTCTCTAATAGGGAAGAGTAATGAAGTTAATGGAGCTGTATAATGCTGTACACTATATGTGAGGTAAGAATATCCCTTTCATGTTTTATCAATTTTTAACTCTTACTTTACAGTAAGGTTTCTGAAACAGTTTCAGTTCTTTATTCCAGTTGCAGTACAAATACTTTAATACTTTCTCAAAAATTCTTACTGGCTTTTTCTTTACATTGCCAACTGTTTCTTTTGATTTGCTGGCTTTTTTCTTTAAACTGCATATTTCAACTGAAATTGGACATCTGCAAATGAAAGGAAAAAAAATCAGCCTGAATTGCTTTTGGTCTAATGATTGGACCCACAGGTATGCGGGCTTAGCTTTAATAGTTTGAGGGTAAAAACTGAATTAACTTAATCAATTAATGTACACAATATATTAAGTTACAAAATCGGACACAAAAACGTACTTTCTCTGAATAAACATACCTTTTTTTCCGACGTTTTCGGATTTCTCTGACAGGGTGTCGGTCTGCTTCCGTGCTGTGCAAGTGACCAGTTTTGTTATTTAGAGTACAGATTTTGCACATTTTTTCTCTCATATTGGTCTAATATCGAAAGATATTTTGGCCAGGCTTAGTTTTATTCTACTTTTCAGTTTTTTTGTAGTAAAAGGAAACTATATGCCTTATCAATTGTTGTCACCAGTTTACATGACGAAATATAAAACTTGAACAAAATTGGTCTAATACTTTCTGCGAAATAGAATTTCAAGTCTGACTTTCTTAAAATTCTGAAGAAGATGGCTATCTTTCATAGACATAATCTAAACCACTTTCTCAAGGGTTGGAACGGAACCTGTGGATAAAGGAAACGGCGACCTTTAGGGGTACAGCCGGAGATGATCTTCTTAAACTGGTTTGTGCCCATCTGTCACAACCACAGCTAAGATTGGCAAGAGCTAACACCTGGGAAACGAACTATAATAATCCGAACATTTGATTAAAAAATATTAGAAGAAAACTGCACGTACAAAATTACACGAAGATGCTCGTTTAGCATTTGCAAAGAAACTTCTTAAAAAAGGTATGAATTGGAAGATGTTCTCTTTTCTGATGAGAAGAAGTTTAATTATATAGACCAGACGGCTGTCAATATTTTTGATACGACTTACGAACTGAACCACACTTATTTTCCAAACGTCAATTTGGTGGTGGATCCGTTATGATTTAAGCTGCTTTTGCAACAGGCGGTACTACTCCAATTAGGTTTATACAAACTAAAATGAATTCAATTATGTATCAAAATATATTCAGAGATAATTAATTGCATTTTGCTCCCCTTATAACATACCGAGACTGAAACTACAGTAGGACATGCGGCAGTTTATATTTCATACTCAACTAACTCTTTGATGAAATCAAATTAAGCTAATTCCCTTGAGTGGCCAGCTCGTAGTCCAGATCTGAGTCTGGTAGAAGACTTTTGGGGCATATTAGTAAGAGACAGATGTGGTCGTTTGCAGATGTGGATGACAATTCAAGAGCAAGTCGGATTAGATTAATGAAACCAAGATGTCTTGGAAAAATATTGATATACCAGCATTTTGCAAACGCTAACTGGGTCCACGATTGCGAGATTTACAAATGTAATCGAATACAAAGGATCTATCATTGATTACTGATGTAATAGTTGTACCGATTTTATCCTTTTTACCAACTTACTTAGGGTTGAAAATCTTATGACACCTTAAGTAATGTGTAATGCATTTTGCTATTAATTTCATTCTGCTATTGTTCTTATTGTGTCATACTCTATGACTATATTATCACGTAGAAAGAAAGGAATTTACGCTGGCGTAGAATAGGTTTATAAACAAACTTCCAAAATACACAGAACTGCCTTTTCGACTTAAAACTCATGAATTTATATACAGTGTAATCAGGAAGCAGAAATGACGTAAGAATGAGAAATGAGAAAGAGAATATTCTAGAAAATTCTAGAGAATTCTATAAATAATAACTAAAATCTTATTAGAAATCGGGAGAACTTGGAGGATCGAACTCAAGACTTCAGACTTGCCAGGCGACTGCCTTTAGCCGCTTGACTATGCCGACACGTACCGTGTCAATATTATAAAATGAAATTATGTAAGTCCTTTAGTCTTAAGTTAAATCACTTTCTTCAGTGACTTTATTCTTTTTTTCCATCACTTTAGTGTGTCACTCTGAATTCTTCTGCGTGATATTTGTCTCGCGTATTGTCCTTCCTTGAATTAAATAAGTCCCGCAGTAGGACTGATCGTAAAAACACGGTTCCCAGAAGAACACCGAAGTCAGGCATCACTGGCAGTGATCAGTAAGCGGGTAGGTAACCACTTTAATCTGCCTGCGTATGGACCCAGGGTGTGCGGTATCCATCCTCGTACCGTAAAGTGCTCGACTTCACGCGCAGGTCATCAAGTTACCAAAGCAGGGGAGCCTTCCCCTCTGCAGAGGATCAAAATTGCGATGGCATATCTTCGGATCATCCTCAGGGATGTTTCCCAGACAGTAGCCAATAGCCCATTGTGCAGCTCTAGTGTGACGTAAATAACGTACCTACCTACCATCAAAAATGTTGGTTTTCAGTTTCGTTCACCATTCCCGACCGAAAAATATTTTATGACATAAGCATGTTTCAAGTAATATCTGTAACTAGGAATCAAGAATTTGGATTATGCCTCCAAGCGTTTGTCTGTTGTAAGGAATAACTGCATAAGAAAACAAAAGAGGAAGTAAGAAAACAAAGAAAAGAGGAATAAGAAGAAAAGAGGAATAAGAAAACAAAAGAGGAAAGTAAGGAATATTAATAAGAAACAAAATAAGAAGGATGTTAGCAATCCTAAAAATGCAGCTTCTCCAAACAGCGTTTTATAATTGTTTTTTTTTAAACTAATATTTTTGAAACAGATAGCGTAAACTCATTTTTTCCTCTAAAAAGCTTCTGTTAACCAACCAGTTTTAAAATTTTTCTTTTACACGATTAGGAAAGAGACACCATGTTCCAGAGGTTAAAGCACTAAGCTCTCTTCCGGGAGAACCGGGGATCGATCCCCGACGTCTTTAAGCCCACGCACGAAGCCTCAAATCAATGTATACCAGCTCGTCTTCAAAGTAAAGGCGGTCGATACATAACGCTGATTGAATTACCGTCATAGTGGTAATGAAATAGGGGATCCATAAATTACATGATACCCCCCCCCAGCACAAATTAGGCTGTTGCCGGAATGCTTGCTTTTAACCTGCTGATAAGTATTTTTTGCTCAAAACAGCTTGTATCAGGTTAAGCTAACTTTTGAACCGAATTAATGATTTTTGTTTAGAACTGTAAGTGTGAGTGAAGTTTATCTAAATTTCGTAAAACCATAAAAAAACATGGCTCATTCGATTTTGTAACCGGAGTTTAAATTTCTGGATAAATTAGCCTTCGTGGAAAACGTTTCGATAGAACTCACCATCATTTGCGTTAAATAGTGAGGAAAACCGCCCACCGTTAACTGATGACAAGAGGATTCAAACCCAAAAATTGTCTACAATTGAGGATATTACATCTGTGCCGGGAGCAGAAATTGCTGGGAATCAAATCTACTACAGCACTCGACTGGGTGGCGAGAACTCTATTCCCCGAGCCACTGCGACACTCATAATTTAATTGAATAAGCCAGCTGCCGAAGGTTGGAAACGTGCAAATAAAGTTTTGTTGAATAAGAATTCTTGAGAAGTTGATACACAAAATTTGAAAATCTGCTTCAAAACGTAGGAAATCATTAGCTCACTATAACTAATCACTTAAACAAAATTTAAGGCAAAAGTCAGTTTAGCTAATTTTTAACCTAGATAACACCATCTTTAATTTTGTCACCAAGAGTTTTTCCATTATAGGAAATGGTTATCCCTCGTATTAGAAAAGAGGTTGTGAGCAAAATAAATTTAAAAGTTTTAATAAAAATTAATAGCTTAAATCTTTTCTCCTTCACATTGGCCTATTTTAGAAAATTTTTACCAACGATAAAAACCTGCCCAAAAAAATTACGGCCAAAATTATTTTTTCTTAAACTTTAGCAAATCTAAGCTAGTTTTAAATACAATCTCAAATTTTAAAACTGATTCGTTAGTCTAGTAAAAAAAATTCGTTAGATCACTCGACCATTTCCTTAGCCCAATTGCAAAAAGAAAGTTATCATCAAAACCAAATTTAGCTCATTTTTAACCAAAAAACTAGAAGTTTGAATTTCCTTTCCATACATTAACACCCGTATTCACCACGCCGAGTTAAATTCAAGAGTAACTCAGGGATCGGAATATCCACGGTTCAGAGTTACTCTTGGATTAACCCTCGCTTTTTATTCTGCAACCGTTTTCAACAGAGGATTTCACAACTCGAGTTTAACTCTTGGAGGAAATATAACGAGGCCTTTGATTGGGCAAGGTAAAACCATGTGACTTTGTATATAATATAAACACGTGCATCGTGCATAAACAAATAAGCGTGAGTATCGCTAATTTAAGTGGAGAGGTTTCAAGAAACGATATCTTTCAAAAAAAGTTTATTTCATCTAACTTTTCTTAGGTCATTATTTCTGATAGTTGGGACATATCTTTCTCTTCTTTCAACAGTTTCAAGAAATTCAAGATCTTCAAGCTCAAACGCAGCGATAGAATCCTCCATCTTTTTTGTTTACAAGCTCCTCGTGAATAGGTTACCCTCCGATAACACGGCAAAAATGGAGGGTTACCCGGAGAGTCAGAACTGTCGATGAAATCTGCGAGTTTGGCGAAATTTCGGCTGGAGAATAACGTTTCGCACTAAACTCGTGATTTTACTCTTACTCATAGATTACCCGGAGGTAATCTGTGTTCATGAATACGGACGTAACCCATACCAAGAAATCATTCACCCATCAAAAAACTCGCTAAAAAATAATTGGTTAGCAGAAATTATAGTAAATTTTTACCTACAAACCAAAAACTTACAACAACGCACAAGCATTAATCCATATTACGACACCATTATCCCAATGCGCAACGATTAATTTCTTCTAAAGCCGTTTTAGTTTATATGATCTAGTAATCACAAATTTGAATTCTACCTCAAACTGTTGTCCCGCAGTGGACTGATCGTAAGAACACGGTTCCCAGTAGAACACCGAAGTCGAGTATCCTGGCTGCTTTCAATAATCCGGTGGTCGACCAATTTGATCAGCCTGCGTAGGGAACGAGGGTGAGCGGTATCGGTCCTCGTTAAACTGTTCTACCTTAAAATATTCGACTTCACGCTCAGTTCGTCGGCAACCAAAGCAGGGGAGCCATCCCCTGCTGCAGAGTATCAAAATTGCGATGGCATGTCCTCGGATCATCCTCAGGAATATTTCCCAGACCTTCGTCCATAGCCCATTCTGTAGCTATAGTACACCTAAAGAAAGTACCTACCTCCCTCAAAAAGTTTTCTTCTGAACCAAAAACTTTCACTACTTCAACCGCACCTAAAAAGTAATAGATTAAACAAGCTATGCATAATTTTTTACTGCAAATCCACAAGTTTTAAATACGCTTTCAAATGGTTTAGAAAATCTTCAGTGCAACAAAGCAAATAATCGTTGCTTATTTTCAAACATTAGAGTAAGTGGTGGGAAAGAAAGTCTTTTGAGAATAGTTTTGATTTAAATAACTGTAGTAATATAGGTTATTAAAATATATTAAAAATGTACTTTTTGTTACAGGATCTGTCACAAGAGGAGTCAAATCTGTGGAAGTGTTTGATACGTTGACAACACAAATAAAAATTTAATAAGTGATCAGAAAAAACTGTAGTATCTTATGCGAAATGAATGGTTTACTACACGCAATCACTCATTTTTATTTATGCAATCTGGAAATGACTTAAAGTCTGTTGATTTTTATTCATGTCCATTCCTGGTCTAGGAATTCTTAGATCAGGTCCAGGACATCCTACAGCTCTACTAGTTTACCATCCACCTTACTCCACAGCAATCTGGTAGAGACACCCATACAATTATAGATATGAGCAGAAGAAGCAGCATAGATTCAAGAGCAAGGTGAAAAAGTCTTTTCCCTGTTGACAAATTTCAAACATTTAATGTGGCCGCATTGTAACCTGACCAAAGCAGTTCGGGACAGTGATCGTATTGGTTTTATGTTCGCTGAAATTCAGTTTGTATGGCTCGGCCCAGGTTGTAAGTTCACTGAGAACGTGCATGACCAATCGATCAAATAGATATAAAATAAAGTGCTTCATTAAAAGAAGATTGTTCGCAAAAGCGATAAGAGTAACACTCTGAGAATTAAAATCACTTAAAGAAGTAAAATTGATTTATAAGAGCCGATGAAAAGCTGTGTTTACCAGGACCCACCAGAGTATCGGCACAAGTGACGAACCCTGCGGCACTCCCATATTAAAATTCTTATTGGTGATGTAATCATTTTTTCCATCGAAATAGATTGTCGCTCTGTCTTCCACTAAGTTAAAAATACAAGCAAATTGTGTGGATGCTCAATCTTATTCAGTTAATTTTTGAGAATCGCCCCGTTAGATCGCTGTTAAAGGCATTGTTAATATCCAGAGCCATCTCAATTGTGTGCTTATTTTCCTGTTCAGCCGCTGTAACAAAGTCAACTAAGCAATTGAGTGCCTCCTCCGTCTTTTCCCTGATCTGAAGCCCCGAACTGCATATTCCATTAATTTATAGATTCGAGATTATAGACGAGTCTCTTAATCAGCACTTAATCCAGAATCTTGTCCCAGACCAAGAGAATGGAGATGAGCCTGTAGAATTTAGGCAATCTTCGATCTACCTTTAGTTTACCAATCAGGACGGCGATGTTATTTTGTTTTCCATTTATTTTTGGAAAATTCATTCAGACATTAATTGAAGAACTCCAGAAGCCAATGACGATTGATACAGAAGATATCTCCGAAAATTTCCATCTGGTGCCTTACCTGATTTTAGAGCTCTGGCCGTAGCATCTAGTTAATCAATTGTGAATGGAGGATCATTATTGTCAAGTTTCCTCACCTGTACATGTTCAATATCAACCTCCAGAAAATGATGTGACGTTATATTTTCAACAATCCCGCTAAATCTATTAGGAACTGAACCATCCTGCTTAGTTTGGACTCTGTCTCAAGCACTCTTCTTTGGCAATAGAGAAGATTAATCAATTTCAAACCATGTTTAAAGACATATTCCGAATCATACCTTTAGAGAATTTTTTTTACTGTCTTATACTGTATATGTTAGTAACGTGATGCAAAAAAAATGAGCTGCATCAATGTATAATTATTATTGGCATGAAAAAGCTTAATGTTAAATCACCATTCCTCTTTAGGTTATATTTATATATTTAATATGAATATGCTAAGCCATTGATGTAATTAAAATATTATCTCGTGTGTGTTTCATTTTTACAACCGAAGAACAGCATTTTAGCTGAATAGGGAGGTAATCTTTTTTAGACGTATTTAGTGAAGTTAGACTCTATCGTAAAATTCAATTCAGAAAAATTTTGTAAATCAGAAAAAATATATTCGCTAAAAAGGCCATGATTCGTAATACCAAGGAGTAATACATGCATTTTCAGTAATAAGCTGAAAACAATAGTTAAAATTTGCAATATCTATTAACTAAAGTCAAAGGTAAATGTAGAATAATGTGATATATATAAAGTTTTCGCATATTCAATTTGCTTTCAGCAAATAATTACAGCGTGCAAGGATAAACTGAGATCTATTTAGCCTGGTTACCTTATGTTAAAAAAAACTAGGTTAATTTTAAATCACCCTTTTTAGTAAAAATATTAGTACAAGACCACCGTTTTTGGTAAATAATAATTTAGACTGAGTAATCCGGTAAAAATAGAAAGGATTCGGTAATAATGAGATCTAGTACCAATAATAATTATGCTTCGAATACCGTTTCATACCTGATCATGGTGCGTAGCGCTTTTAAAGAGTGTTTTTTATTGGGTGAATTAAGTGCTTAATTTACCCTTCTCGAAAATTAGATTTTTTTTCCTTTACTGTGTCGATTTTCGCCACATAATTTGCAAAAGCGCAGTGTTCATATTTTTCTATTCAATGTTCACATTTCATACAACCATAATCCATTTCGGCGTACCGTCGGTCCTTAGCGTACGAAAGCGAAAATCATTTTACATGTCTGATGATATACTTGCGGGACAGCATGTGCATTTGCTGAGCGGAGTTCGGTGAGATTATTGCCCTTTCATGTGCAACTCTGTTGCATTTCGCAAGATATTCTCAATTTCAGGCTTCATTTTCCTCCCTCTGATATAGAACCGAAAACCTCTTGATCATTTTGTCATCTATTATAATCAGCTCAGTCAGAAACTAGTCATTTTTAACATGGACATGTAAAGTCTTTGAAAACTAGTTTATATATATGGAGCTAAAAAAGCATTCTTTTAGTGCCAAAAAAGTACTTATTTTTTGTTGAAAGATTCGCTACGCACCCTGATAATAGGTTCAATAACCATTAGAATTATTTGGGTCAGATTAATAGTGGAATATAGTACTGATCAAATAATGCTCGGTGCCAGAATTAACAAATGGTGACAGCGTGTATCTTCGAGTAACGATAGAATTAGGTTTCAGTCGCGATTAGGGCCAAAAACTATTCAAATAGCAAGTTCAGGAATAGTATGAATTCCAGTTTCAGAAAGTCTGGTTAAAAACTACTCAAGTTACAGCAGTGAATATATGTGATTACTACTAGTTAGTTAAAATATTCACTAAGGCGGGTAGAGTTACATAAATTATAGCAGATTGATGCATAATGATAGAAAGATTTAATTAAAAAAAGGTTAAAAAACTGTTTTTATTATTAGTTTATTAACCTACCAGCAAAAAGACAACTCCACTATTGGTCAAAACAGACTAATTTTTAGTGACTGATCTATTTATAACAGGCTCAAATACCGATAGAAAAATATAGGGTAAAAGTAGGTTTTAACTTATATTATCATTTCAATCAATACTCGAACTATAAAGAGAATTGTTTTCGTGTCCACTATATTCCTATCGTACCGAAATTCTGCTATAATTTCATCAATGCACTACTCTTCTCTTAGTGCTTGAACCTACTATAACTTAATTTTTTAAAACCTCTTTCAACAATTCGTTTAATCTATACTCGATACTTCGGTACCAAATTCCTCTATTATTTGACCAAATTTTGAACACTTTTTTTTAAAATCTCGAACCATTCTCTTCTATCAGTACTTTGATCTGTTGTAATTTGATCAGTTTTTAAACTAAACTCCTGTTTGTGAAAATTGCAACACCTTGAAGTAATCGTCATAATTAAATGAAATTTAATACACAGTTGAGTGGTAGTGGTACAAATAAATGATTAAACTTTCAAAGCAAACAAACAATAACAAGAGATCGAAATCAGTATTTTGTGTAACCACCACGCTCCGCAATAAGTGCTGCTACACGACATGGCATGGAGTCAAGCAAACTTTGAATGTCTGTCTGAGGAAGAGAATTCAATACTGTTTGTATGCGTACCCAAAGTTCGTCTGTAGAAGCAACAGGACGAGGATTACGAGCGAGACGCCGACCAACGAAATCCCACACATGTTCAATCGGCGACATATCCGGGGAATACGCCGGCCAAGGAAGAAGTTGTACCTGTCGCGATGCAAGGAAGGATTGAACAGTCCTAGCAATATGAGGGCGGGCATTGTCCTGTTGAAATACAGCACCTGGCAAGGCTTGAAGGAAGGGAACAGCTTGGGGCTGTAGAACTTCACTGATGTACCGGTTGCTGTTCAGATTACCCACAATTCGTAGCAATTGAGATCGTCCATGATATGCTATGGCACCCCAGACCATAACTCCGGGTGTTCGTCCACTGTGGCGTTCGATAACGCACTCCGGAAGATGGCGTTCACCGGCATAGCGTCTGACACGAATGCGGCCATCATGGTACCACAAATTGAAGCGAGATTCGTCAGAAAACACGACACGCTGCCAATCAGCAAGCCAGTCCCTATGCTGGTTGGCCCATTGCAGCCGCAGGCGGCGAAGGTTTAGCGTGAGGGGGATCCTGTATAAAGGAGTCCTTGCGCGCAGTCCACGCTGCAGCAGACGTCTACGAATTGATAAAGCACACAATGAAACACCTGTAGCTATTGACCACCGTGCTGCCAGTTGTCTAGAGGGAGCCGTACGGTCCGTTAGCGCAACGCCGAACAGGTGTCTATCATCGCGAGCTGACGTGACATTTCGGGGTCCACTCCCGGATTTCCGAGTTGTCCGACACTCGTCCATCCACTGCTTTCAAACACGCATCACTGTGCTGCTGTTACGCTGCACACGAGCGGCTACTGCACGATAAGATAATCCAGCTTCACGAAGGCCGATGATTCTCCCCCGTTTAAACTCCGTAAGTTGTTGAAATCTCGCTCTCTTTCGTCGAATAGGCATAAGTAATGACTAAGCTAACGTTTACCACTAGCAGATAACCACCGATAACCATACTCGCTTGGCTACAGCCGTCTATTTATTCGGATCCATCCGCCTTTCAGAGGGCGCTGAGTCAGCATGCGCATGCGCTACGGGTCTGAAATTCTAATCATTTGCATATCATGCTCTACTTTACATCTCCTGAAAATTTCAGCTCACTCGCGTAAGTCCTTCATGGTGTTGCAATTTTCACAAACATGAGTTTAGTTTCTGAACCAATGCTGAAACTCGCCATTTTTTGATCGGTACCTGAATCGACTATAATTTTCGAATCCACTCTCGTTTGATCAAAACTTGTAACAGCCAACTTTCTGTGGATCCTCGAACTTGCAATTATTTGATCAGCTATCGAAATCGTTCACTAATTCAGTACTCGAACTATCGGTATTCGAAACTGTCAAATCTGCTATCTTTGCATCGGTATGCGAAACTACTATAATTTCATCAATCACAACTTTTTGAACCTACTTTTTATTGTTACTCGAACTCCCTAGCATTTGACAGTTTTTGATCCTAGTTTGTTTAGCTCGTCGAGGTTTTGTACCTATTTATTTTTTTATCGCGACTAGACTGCTATTCGATTAGTTTTTATAACAGGTCTCTTTTTATACTAGTATATTTTAATCGGTATGCGACCTATTTATTGGAACAGTATCGAAAACCACTCTATTTTGATCAACCCACTTTCTTTTGGAATGCGAAACTTTTATAATTTATCAGCATTTAAAAAATCAGGCTCGTTCGATTAATTTGATTTGCTCAGTAAAATTTTCGTCGGTACTCGAACCCGCTACCATTTAAGCCCACTGTTATTTGATCAGGACTCGAACCTCTGCTTTCCCTTCATACTTGAAACTGCTATAATTTTTGTCAATGTTCAAAACATCCCTCTTGTGCACTATACTCGAACTCACTGTCTTTTTCAAGGTACTTGAACCTACAATAACTTTCAAAACCAATCCTTTTTCACAAATACTTGATCTAACAAAAATTTTTATCGGAACTCGAATCGGCTATCATTAAAAAAATTTCGAACCCAACTTTATAGATTAATACCTAAACCCACTAGCATTTGAACAATTTCCGAACTCATTATTTCTTAATCGAACTCGCTAACTAAAGAACTGTTTTCGATCGCAATTTATTTCGATCAAAACTTGAACCCTCCTGCTGCACTCTAATCTGCCATAATTTGATGAGTTTTATAACCCGGCACAATTTGATTTTTTTTTAAAGTCTGATTTCATTGATAAAGAATGTTTTTAAAGGGAGCTATTGTTTTACTACGAAATAATAAAAGGAATATGCATTGAAATTACTATATTAATCCTTTCATTAAATAATTTATTAATTTAAATCGTTACTGATTTTTTTAAAACAAATAAATCAATAATTTTAACAAATGAAAAAAAAAGATACTGATTGGAAAAAAATTTAATTTAAACATAAAATATTTATCTTCCATAAAATTAATACATTCTTTAGGTCGCGATATTTTTTTAATCTGATTTTATTGATTATGAGGATATTTTACTAAGAAATATCGAAAGGGTTATGCATGTAAATCATTCTGTTTCAAAATTAGAGTAATTAGGAATAAAAATGTTATGAAACTTTTAAATTGTAATTCTCCATTAAATACACTTAAAATAACTTTCTATCTATAAACATATTTCAATAATACCCATTTAGTTTTTTGCAGTTTAAAAAGCAGAGCTTTTATATCTTATTAATTATGAAGTTAGCGAGTATCAAGACTTGCCAATCCATAGTGACCATTTTTTTTCAGTAGCTTTTTCTTATCTAAACTAATTTACTCTTTATCGGGTATCTAGTTGACAAATTGTCAGCAAGTTGAGTTTGAAAAATACAACTATGATTTTTCTCAACTCAGTGATTAG